CTTCCGGCGCCCGTTAGTTCAGTTGCTATGACAAAGGTAAACAAAACACTAAAACACTCTATAAAAACTACATTAATAATACTAAATAAATTCTTCAAAAGGTTATGTTGTGAAAGTAAAACGATTACAGACCTGTTCACAGGTTAGCACCTGTGAACAGGATAGAACAGGTCGAAATAACAAGGCAGACAGCTTCGTACTTTTCAAATCCTCCTGGAATCTGTTCTGAAGCCGGTTGTCAGTTATACAGATTCTGGAGCTATTACGATAGCACACTGCCTCCTACTGGTAACTTTCTGCTACTGCAATAAAGTTAATTACAATAGAAACCAAATCTCGAAATTGGAAATATACATAAAAAAACCAATATCAGTTAATTCAATATAAAATGGCAAAAGAAAATAAATAATAATAATAATAATAATAATAATAATAATAACAACAACTTACCATTACTTTTAGTGTATGCCACACCTGCACATGTCTGACATCTCCCACTGCGTTCTATGACCCCTTGTCTTGGATCCAGTAAGGCTACCAAGCTTAGGACGTCCTCCTTCTGTGGCTTCAGGGTATTTGATACCCCCTTGGTAACCGACATCCGTTTAAGTTCATCTGGGCTGATGATGCCGAACTGAACTCTCTTGATCGTGCCCAATGGGTATGTGCTGTCACCGGCTAGGTGATACTATATTTAAGTTTGTGTACAATTTTATGATCATAAACCAGGGACAGGACATCATAAAGGTATCCCCAAAAGGAAAGTACTTTCAATATTTTGTACTTGCTGACTTCTCCAAAGTTAACTGTAGGAATAGTAATGGTAATGCTATATCCTCTGTGTACAGCTTCATACTACAAACTGAAATATGAATATACAAAGTTCAGTGCTACATGTAAAGAAAAACAACTAATCAAAAATAATTTCCAGAAGACCTTTGGATGCTGTTTTCTATCAGAACATGAAGTGACTTCCATCAGGGGAATCGCATTAAGTAAGTTAGCTTGTTTAGGGAGCTATCACATGCAAATAGTTACCTGAATTAATCTCCATTAACAAGTGCATATTTAGTCTTCTAAGTGTGTTCAGAATTCTTTTTGGAAAAATTCCTTCATCTACTTCACTGCAATACAGTAGAATCGTTGTAATATACAAATTTAAATTTGTTACTTACCAATATATAGATCACTGTAGAACTCCAGCTCTGTGTGTCCCAGTGGGGGGGTCGCTTTTACCTCTCTGTAATGACCATCAATTTGTAGTACTGCTTCTTTGGTGTTCTTCTCAGCCTCCACACGATGCCACTGGTCATCATTTAGAGGCTTTGGTGTTTGAACAGTGAGCTCCATCCGATTTTTTCCAAAATCAAAAGATAACAGGACCATTGAGCCTTCTGTGAAAACAACATTAACATATAACAGCTTCCATCTGGCAGCTCAGATTTTTAACATTTAAAGAAATAGTCTGTCAAAGTGAGCTCCAAACATGCACAACTAAAAGTTGACAAACCAATTCAAGATATCTCAAACATAAGTCTAGGCAGTAAAGGTAATCTTCAAAATGCATGTAAAAAGAAAAACATTTTAGGGAATTTACAAAACACAGAACTACTGAATCAGAAAACAAATATAAGAAATATAAAAATAAGTTAAAAAAAAGGCATGTAAAAAGGAATATTATTATGAATTCATAATAATTATCATTATTACTAAGGTGGCATGGAACATTTTAAATAGTGATATCAGGAAAACTTCTAATAGTAGCAATTACTCACAGTATTTCATAGATAATGACTAGAATATTACTAATATGAAGAATGTTATAAATGTTATAAATATGACTGTATAGTGAGATTCAGCACTATTGTACTAATGCATAATATGCATATGAGTGTGTGTGGGTATGTGTGCATATATATAGACATATGTAAACCCAGATAAAATGGAAAATTAATGAACCTATGTCTTTTTAAATTGTTTTAGAATTTAATAATGGGGTCCATCTGAAAATATGGTATGAGTTTATGGGGTAGGACTTCACTGCGTTTCTTACTTCCTCCTACTCCTTTTCGAGCATCTGCACAAAACAGGCAGCATTGTGAGGATCATGTTCTTTTTTGTAAGTGTGATTTGTTTCGTCATAAAATCCAGTGACACAGGTGGAGGCCTCAACAATCACCTGCATCTATGACTACCTGACAAACTGACCAAAATTTGAGAGACTGTAGGACTGTCTGTCTAACCCAGTGGTTAGCAGCCCAGAAGCACCACAGGGGACTGTACTCTAACAATTGCTTTTGTTAGAGTACGAGTTCCCCCCTGTATTCTGAGGTGTACGGGTGGGGCACTCAATTGCTTTGAATTGAACCTTGAGTTTTATCACAATAAGTTTTGGAAAAACGACGATAGTGATAAAAGTGTGTGACATGGCAATCATAACCCCACAAACACAAATAATGCTCTTGGGAAAAATTGTATTTTGTAATCCGCTATTTTACAACACCAAAGAAGTGTGATTTGTCGTGATTGTATCATATATACTGCTTCATGGTGCTACTGTTGTGGTACTACATATACAGACACACCTCGGATTTCAATGTGAAGGAGGTTGTTGGCTCCCAGGTTCTCCAGTAAGACTCCGTAATTGGAAGAGGTCTTAAAGTAAAATGAGATATCAGTACTGGATTCAATTTGAAAGTACTTGAAATGAAGTGAAGAGGCGGGGCTGTTAAAGGAAGCTGCATTCCAGAAGTTTCCTAGAATTATAGCAAAAAGAAACATTTAATTAAAAATACTGGAAACATTATACTTTCCACCAATATAAATACCAATCCTTTAAAAAAAAATTGTATATAGATGCATACATACACAGCCAACCATTCAGAATACGATACAAAAACTGCATATACACTAACACTAAAATATTACACTTTAAATTGATAATATCAAATAAACTTGAAGAAAAAGAACAATAAGAAACAAATGCAACCAGACCCTACGTGATTCTTTTGCTGGGTTATAACCCAAAGAGTAAAATTGAGATATAAATCTTTATTTAAAAACTTCAGTTTGACATAGGAGCTCTTCTTCTTTTTTGCCTCATTTTATGAACAACAAGTTGGTCAGTAGATTAGCAGATATGAGACGGGGTGGGAGGTGGGGTCGGGGGTCAGAAAAGTTATGACAAAAGCTAAAAAGCGCATAAACCCATTCAGAAAAATGTGTGATTCAGGGGATTCATTATTGTCAGAGGAGGATGATGATGAGAGAAACATGACCATGGACCAATTGAGGAAGAGTTAAGATAAGCTGCTGCCCGGTAAGAAGGAGTGGAAATGTTCATGAAGAAAGAGTGTTCCATGCAGGCAGAAGGGCAGGTGCATGTGAGTCCGGGAGGGGGAATCCAACACTAAGCTAGCAGGCAGTCAGAAAAACCCTGATGGAATGATGATGATGGCCTGTGGAATAATGAACACGTTCTGAGATGTTCTAGTAAGAAGAATAACTGTGAATTTCAATAGAAAACGTAATAAGTAAGGGAAAACAATAGTTAGAAAATAGCTACTGACTAGACACATCGTCAATAAATACTATCTGGGGGAGTTGTAGCCAAAATGTGGAAATGTTCAACATCGGAAATGACTGCAAGAATGTTAGGGTTGTGTAGTTAAAGTTTGCTGTTAGTAATTACTTCAAATGAACTTTTTAAACTACACCTCTGTTAAGGTGTCCATGCTTTATGTTAGTCTGTATACATACATATGTATGGTAAACTTATTGTCAGTAAATCAGTTTTCAAAGAAAACTGATTTACTGACTGATTTACTCTGAAACAGGGTTTTCTCAATTTCCTGCAATTCTGAAACATTCAAACTGTAACAGGGATCATAGAAGCCATGTGGTCTTAATCTGGTGTGAATGGGGTCTAAGATGAAGTGTCAGGACTTAGAATTCATCATAAGAACACTTACTATCTCCCTGGCATTTAAGAGGCCCAACAGTCAGCTTGGCCTCAGATCCGGATCTGCTTGTATCACCGATCACAACTGTATTGACTGGCAAATGGTCTTTATACACCAACAAACCTGCATCTTCCATCCTATCACACAAAAGCACATCAGGCAGAAACACAATTTTAGGTAAAATAACACCCAAAACGAGCAAAGAAAAAAACAAAACAAAAAACTTAAAGGTAGTACCAGAAAGCAGTAATTAAAGAGGAACACCTGTGTGTTTGCGAGTCAGCCCGTGTCTACCTTCATGGGGGAGACAGTGCAGTCAGCTTGTCTCAGGGCTTTAAGCAGCAAACATTGCCTCCCAACGACAAGGGACACATTAGGAACCATAAAAGCTATGGATATCATTTACCCACTACTTGTATCAGCACAAATAGGAGAATGTTTCTGTCCCATTCAATTTTTTTCACAATATAATATTATAGGCATAAAATTGTGTCAAATATGTTGATAAAATAACTGAATGCTGAAAATGTTTATATCAGAGCTTTTTCTTCTTGGATCTGGAACACGTTAAAAGCGAATTACCAAATTTGCTTTATTCCCTGTCATGTTAACGT